CCTCCACAACTAATAGGTTTATAAAACATACACGCGAATTGAGAACCTCCTCCTTTTTGTATATATGTACATATGTCGGAATACAATAATAAGACACTAATGCCGAAATACTCAAACACTGATCTTTTTTTTTTATAGGATCGGGTGACAATCGAGCACACAGTCCACCTGATGGTAAGTGGTTACTGTGACCCATAGACATCTATCCTCAATAAAGAGTCAAGATGCAGATGCGTTGTCACCCGTTAGGACTAAGATGGAATGCCTCTTTGCCAGTAAAAAGTGTCTCTCATGAAAGGATCAATTTAAAAATTCCGTTAAGTTTGGTGCTATCTCTATCAACTTAATTCACAGTGATTGTGACACCACAAGAATTAACGACATCTTAAAATTGAGTGGCGTTTGAGTATTTGCCCATAAATATGCTTTAATTTAACGGCAGACTTTCACAATTCGACATTTGAGATTTAAGAACATTACACGGATTGTATAGACGCAGACGCCTTCGGCTATCTAAAACTTATTAAGGTGTATACTGTAGTGTATTCTCCACAACTAATAGGTTTATAAACACTTCCTTTCTAAGGTACATAGACCTTTATTTTGTAGAACACGTACCTAATCTATTTTCTAATACATAAGGAACAAATTGCTGTGACTGAAAATTAATAAAATAGAAATTATTATTTCTTTATTTTAACGAATTTTATGATGCATTTATTTTATATTTATAGAATAGAATAGAATATTTTTTATTCAATATATATTACAAGTAATTCTAATTGAAAGTCATTTTTTTAATTTTACCACTGGTTCGGAGATAAACTGTCCTGGGAAGCACCAGCACGAAACGCAGCGGGACTTTTTTATTTAATTTAAATATAAGAATAAGAAAGTTTGTAGAAACTACTTACAAAACTTATTTAAGAGACAGCTTGGAAGCGACAACCTAATTCCCAGGGGTTTTTATCAACCATGTATTAATTTATATTATAATAACCCTTTTTATACGGTTTCTGTTTAACAAAATATTTAAACTTGGTAATAGAGAGACCTTGTACATTTTCTGGGTTTTTGTTGTAATAGCGTACATACATTGCCATATGAATGAATTACTGACTCTGTGGAGTCGAGAACTGTGTATTTATTTATCTTCAATATCATCATCATTACAGCCTATATAGGGCACTACTGTAATGATGATGTATTCCTTGGGGAATGCCTTAAAACAGGGTCTTGCGCCACATTCATCCATGGATTTATTTCATGTCTTTATCGTCATTTCGTCCACATCCATCTAGTGAGGGACCACCCTACACTTCGTTTCAGTAAACAGTTTCAGTTTCATACCAGTGTACAAGGCTGCCACTCGATAACCTTTCTTCCCCATCGGTTGTCGGTTTTTCGAGCTATATAGCCGGCCCATTGTCACTCAGCTTACAGTGTCGCTGTTCTAATTCTGCTGCCCTGATTCTACTGCTCCTCATTACATATTAATTTATTTCAAACAACATATTTTAATATTAAAACTGTTGGTTTAATAAGTTATGGTTTATTGATCGGAGCCTTATTCAATTTTGGTTTATTATTTTAGAAATATAGCATAATTCAAACATCACGTATAATGTAGAATAGCACAGAACCTGTATGAACAGTAAATAGAAATATACTAAGTGTGAAGGTAGACAAATTGACAACAAAACGCATTGTGTCCAAAGATAACCTATAGCGAACATCGATCAGGGCATTCTAATGAAAAACGAAAAATGGCATGGAATGGAAAACTATAATTTAGCATGGAATTTGTATTATGATGCGAAGCCGTTACTATGGGCTATTGTTTAGCTAGCGGATACTCCTGCTCACGTTCCGGGGTAATGGGGAAGATCAATAAGGGCCAACCTGCTGCGGAAAAGATAGCAAGTTAACATGGAATGCCTAGGAAAGAAAGGTAAAGCAAAGAGTATGTTATTAAATTTACTTATGTAGCGGAAATCGTTGCGCTCGATTTCACTATAAATATATTGATGTATCCATCGCTTGATGTGATAACAAGTTTTGTAAAACAAATTCTAGTAGATGCAAAGGAAGAGTGATTGTATTTAATTTAAAGAAACTTATTCATTGTACGTAATATACTTACATATATAAGTATATATTACGTACGTTATATATATATATATATATATATATATATATATATATATTACCCTATCCTATTATATAATATATATAAGAGGATAGATAGGGTGACAAACGAGCACACAGTCCACCTGATGGTAAGTGGTTGCTGTGGCCCATAGACATCTACATTTATCCTCGTTTGCGAATCAAAATGCAGATGCGTTGTCATCCGTAAGGACTAAGACGGAATGCCTCTTTTCTAATAAAAGGGTCTCCGGTTCTCTACACTAATATAAAGAAACACAGCAGTGTCAAGCTACCATTTTACGCTGGTATTCTGTGAGAGCGTGGTCTTTCCCCGGTCGAGCCGATCTACATTCGTGCTACAACTATACTACTAATATAGCTGCAGCATGGCTCTACCACGGATAAAATAATCAAAGTACGTATAAAGTAATTAAAATATTTAAATATATAAATTATTAAAGACCATTGGCTGTGCAGTGGCGGTGAAAGAATATCCACTACCACATCGTCCCGTGGGTGTTGTAAAAGACGACAGAGGGAAACGAACCAGGAGATCGCAGCATCTTCCTGATAACAACTCTAAATAATAAAAAACTGCGGTTGCCAAGCCGACTGTCAAACTTGACAACTGTGGCAAAATTCCTCCATGGCAATCTATGGCGGAGAAGCCTATGTTTAGCAGTGGCCTTTTATAGGATGTAATGGATGGATAATTGTAAAGGATAGATCATAACTTGTACTTCACAAAAATAAAGTTCTTTATCATCGATTTTATAAACGTGTATGTATGTACATATATTTCAATGAACATTAAATAATTTAAAATTAAAAATTTTGTACAAGTGACTTCAATATAAATTATTAAGAATAACTCAAAAACTATTACTTTTATTTATATATTATTACTAACATAAGGGACTACAAGTGAAGCACCAGCTTTCAAATAAAAAAAGAATCATCGAAATCGGTTCACCCAGTAACAAGTTATGAGGTAACACACGTAAAAAAACATACAGTCGAATTGAGTACCGGCTCCTTTTTGAAGTCGGTAGAAAATAAGTTATTTCAGTTCAAGGTAAGAGAGAACTAAAATATTTCAAGTTACTTCTCTTTCTGTAAGATAGAAAGCAGTCATGACTGTTTATTAGTTGCTATATATAGTTTTTGTTTATTTTGTTATTTCAAAGGCATACAATAAATTTATATACCACTAACTCAGACGAAATAAAAAGTCTTTTATTTGGTCTGCGACTTCTAAAGGTTTAATTCCTGGCAGTAACATGCACCCATCATAATAAAGACCACAATGCTAATACACAAAATAGGTATCTATATTATACGTTGTAATAATATCAAAACAATCAAAAACAGTTTAATCAAAAACAGCGTTATCTCGAAGCGCATATTTCCGCATCCTCCCCGCTATTTACAAAGCTAACGGCGATCATTGTTCTTGCGTTTCGTAGTAGGTAATTGATGTTTCATTATAATGGCCCACACATACTGGAAGATACGAGTATAACTTTCAAATGTGACGCGTGAGTTGAAATCGATTCCTTAGGTGCAATTTAAATTTAACACACAAGACGTGCCCACCGAAGTAATGAAGAAATAGTGTTCATTCGTAAAAACACTTAGGGGGAAGTCCCGTAACGCCGGACGGCACCTAGCGCCGGACACTCGTACTATTTAAGCGAGTATAAATCTGTTCGATTCAAAATACAAGTGAAAGGGGCGCGGGGGGCACACAGGTACAGGATCACGCGCCGCGCATCGCCAGTGACGCACACGGCCACGGCGGGAGCAACCGTTTGCTGTTTTAGGCGCGAAATCACGGCGTCACCTAAATATCAATGTAAGTAATTCTAGTATATTTATGCATTTACATTTGAGTGGTATGCAAAGATAAAAGTAGTATTTGATTGTTATCCGTAAAATGGTAGAATATTATTAGATCTTTTAAACAATTTTAGTAGGTACCACTTAATGAACGAAAATGTCTGTCCCTTAGCACCGGACACTAAGCCGTCCCTTAGCGCCGGACAGTAAACATATTGATATTTCTTGTGAGAATTTATGTCATTTATTCTAATTATTTAATTTTGTTTTAGAGTATAGAAGAAAGAAGATATTTAAAATGGAAGAGAAGAAAAAGAAAGGATCCTGGGAGCCACAGACCTTACAAACTGCTATTGATAAGGTTATGTCAAAAGAACTGAGTGTAAGACAAGCTGCAATGCAATACAATATTCCTAAAAGCACTATACATGATAAAATAAAGGCCCTAAATCGAGGAGAAGAAGTAACAATGAAACTAAAGTTAGGTAGGTTCACTAGCACCTTCTCAGCAGAGTATGAACAAGTCTTGGTGGACCACATTAAAGATTTATCGAATAGATGCATGCCGCTCATGAAAAAGGAGTTTCTCAAATTAGCATACGACTTAGCTGAAGTCATGAAGATTCCTCATCGATTTGATAAAGAAAAAGGCAGTGCTGGTAAACATTTTTACTACGACTTCATGAAAAGGCATTCTGACATTTCGTTGAGAGCACCGGAATCGACAAGCATGATGCGCGCCGTAGGATTTATCAAACCACAAGTGGATCTATTCTACGACAACCTTGAAAAGCTGATGAAACAGTACAAATTCATACCCTCAAGAATTTATAACTGTGATGAAACTGGTGTCAGTTGCGTGCACAAACATCAAAAAGTTCTCGCTCCGAAAGCCATCCGTCAAGTAGGTAAGCTCACTTCTGCTGAGAGGCAAAAACATCACAGTTTTGTTCTATATGAGTGCTAACGGTCACTACATACCCCCATTTTTCGTATTTCCTAGACAAAGAATGAATGAAAGGCTTATGGTGAATGCTCCAGCTGAGAGCATCGGTGTGGCCCAGCCAAAAGGGTGGATGAATAGTGACTTTTTTTTGCAATATCTAAGAATATTCGTCAAACACACGCAACCAACTAAAGAGAACCCTGTGCTGCTTCTAATGGATGGCCATTGCAGCCACAAGACATTGGCGGTAATCAATTTTTGCAGAGAAAATCATATTCACTTGATGAGTTCACCACCACACACTACGCACAAGCTCCAGCCTCTGGACAGGACATTTATGAAGCCATTTAAAGATGCATACAGCCAACGATGCGACTTGTGGATAAGAACAAATGCTGGATGTCGGATAACGGATTACGACATTGCTGGTTTGGTCAAAGAAGCATTTATAAAAGTAGCTCGATTGGATATTGCAGTATCTGGATTCAAATGCACTGGAATCCATCCATTTGACAGACATTTATTTTCTGACCTAGATTATTTGGCTGCAGTTATGACCAATATACCACTAGAACAAACAGAAACTTCATCGAATGCACTAAACAACGAACAAGCTGTCGTGATATCAAACTTAATCATAGAAGAGCAAATAAAAGAATCTGAACAATCTATTAGTGAGCCTATAACCACAAGTCCCAAACCGTCGACAAGTACTGCTCCCGATCTTGTTCAGATAATCCATAACTTATCACCGTTGCCTGACGCAGCAAAAAAACGAACAGCAGCTCGAAAAAGAAAGAGTGAACGAAGTGAAATTTTAACTTCATCGCCATACAAAAAAGTGGCAGAAGAAAAAGAAAATGAAAAGAACATGAAAGACAAAAAGAAGGAAATAAAATCTAAGTTTAAAGTAGCAATGGGAGGTAAAGGAAAGCAAACCAAACGAATTAAAACCAAAGGAAAGAGCGTAGACAAGGGAAAAGAAGCGACAAACGTGAGACCTAAAGGAAAGAAAGGAAGTGAAGTAGAACCATTAACTGAAACATCTAACACAAACATAACAATTTGCGTAGTTTGCTTAGAAGACACTGACGAAGACTGGATCCAGTGCTCATCCTGTCGTGGGTGGGTACATGAAGCATGTGCAGACATTCCAGAGTGTGGTGATGGCTTCATATGTGATCGATGCAGGTTATTTTGAAATGTCCGGTGCTAGGTGTATGGCACAAATATTCGTCCGGTACTAGGTGCCACTTTTTAAAATTATATTTTTTGTTACCAAAGTTTGATTGATAGTATTAATTATTTTTTAGCAGAGGTTGCATTTTTGTTAATTTAATTTGATTTCTAACTTTGTTATCTAATATAAGTCATAATTTAATAAACATTTCTTAAAATATTTTTTGTTTTATTTATAAATAACCTTAGGTGTCCGCCACTAGGGGACTTCCCCCTAAGTGTAAATTTTAATATAAAATATTTGACCAATATTTTTTTTTTGATAAGGGTGATAAACGAGCACACAGTCCACCTGATGGTAAGTGGTTGCTGCGGCCCATAGACATCTACATCTATCCTCTATTACAAATCAAAATGTAGATGCGTTGTCACCCGTGAGGACTACGATGGAATGCCTCATTTCCAGTAAAAAGGGCCTCCGGCCACCTGCACTCACCAAGCAAAACGCAGAAGTAAACCTCTACTTCACGCTGGTTTTCTGTGAGGTCGTGGTACCACCCCGGTTCGAGCCGGCCCATCCGTGCGTCAGCAAAATCTGCCGCGTGGCTCTACCACTGTTAAAATTTATTTTTAAATTTATACGCAAGTTACTTAAAGTAGGGTCTTTGAGTTCGTTAATCCATTAATCTAAAATGATTGAAGAAAGCTAAATTCAGGGATTTAATATTGTTCGCCATACTTTTGCCAATAATTCATATTTTTATTTTATTAATTGTGGTCCGTGCTACGTAATCTATGAGAATAATTATATAGTATATAGTATCTTGAATCCAATGTCCATGATTGGTGTAAGTTTCGGTGAAACGTAAATAAAATGAGGCAAATTAATCGCGATAAAATTCATACAATGATTTTATAGCTAAATGTTTTCAGTCTTTACTTCTCGTAAATTTAACACTGTTTAATTTATAATTTTAAACTAATCGGTAAATGTAAATCCTTCTTATGATAGAAGACCATGTCTCTTTTTGGAACATAGCAAAGCTAGATTATTGAATATGCCGGAATTACCGGATGGGTACAGGATGGCTGTTACCATAGTAATATGTAATTTATTTTTATTTTCAGCGCTTTAAAATAATATAAATACTAAAAAGCCACGGGTTGCGAAGATAACGATAAACTACGTCTACAATGATAACTTTCACATCCATGAACAATCTAATAAATTTTTGCTGCGTTTATCAAATTTTACATTTCTATAGTCGTGATACTCAAGTGCGGATGTAGAGCTCGAAAATAGTCCGAAACAATGTGGCATTTAGATTTATTTCGACATTTGTTAAATTAACGACAACGCCTTCTTTGACTTCTGGGCCAACGAGAGCCCTTTATGCAACAGAGTCATTCCTATAATCCTAAGATCGAAATTAATATTACAATATAAAATTTCTATCTTTGAACACATTAAAACTAATAGTGAGCCCTTTAAGTAAATTTTTGCACTACAAATAATTCAACAAAATACTTATTATTAATATCTATTAATTATATTTCATACCCAAATCATGTAGGAATTCTGAATAAAATGTTTGGATAATGATTTCTTATATTTACGCGAACACTACACATTTAAATAAAACTAATTTTACGGATTTTATCGCGTATATTATATATCGCGTATATAATATACGCGATAAAATCCGTAAAATTAGTTTTATTTAAAATGTTTGGTTTAAAAACGTTCGCAATTCAAGGACCCAGATGGAAGTTTCTTGATCCCGCGAGACAGGTGTAAACCGTTCCTAGTCTGTTATAGTAATCTTCAGCCTAACTACCTTTGCAATAGGACCCTTTTTCAAGTGAGAAAATAAAATCATAACTTAAGTTCCCTTTTATTAGCCAACTCCCGTCCGATTTCGTCACAAGCGAAGTTCAACGGTCCAAGTCATGAATAAGTAAACGGTGTTTTTGAGCAAAAAGTGGACGCAATTTTATTTGAAGTTTTATATGTAAGGGTAATTTTATCAATGTTAGAACATAAAGCATTGCTTTTTGTAATATAAATTTCCATTATTCCTTCTTCATCTATGCGGTATCCCGGCTACAGCCACGGTTCACCTGCTCGTGCGTCTGAACTTTGCCCGGTCTGAAACGATTTTTTTAAATTTCTACTTTAACATTGACTATTGAAGTTTTTCATGACCCATCCTTAAATGAGCATCATATTTACCCTAACTAACTCCTTAAATAAGTAAAAGCTTAACATTTTGGCTTAATGGCTTAACACTTAGTTTTATTTTAACAATATTCCTTTTGGATGTTTGGATGTTCTATCATTCACTACAGAATGGATGCACATGGGATGTACAAAGCTATCAAAAAACATACTTTTTTTATTAAACTGAAGTCACAAACACCACAGTCCATCTGATGCAACAATGCAGGCAGAAAATATTATACAATGACTATTAACGGCTCCGTGGCGCAGTGGCTTTGCAATTAATTGCAGCGCTATGGCCTACAAATAATTGTTCCGGGTCTGGATGTGAAATTTATGTATATAAACTGCCCACGAAAATCCTAGTGTGGAGGTAAGGTTTTCGAAAAAAGAAAAGAAGAAAAATTTAAAAAATATCTGTACGTTTTTGACGAGGTAGAAACATGCTGCGGCTATACACACAAAATACCTGCGTAAAATTGCAGAATAATGTTGTTTTATTACGTAGTCGAGTGTAGAGAACTGGTGATCCTTTTGCTGGTTCACGAGGCGTTTAATGTTAGTACCAAAGAGCGTCAGCGCATCTGCATTTCGATTCTTAATGGAACATAGATGTAGATATCGATGGACCACAGAATTTACTTACCATCAGGTGAACTGTGTTTATTTGACTTGTAACTTTCACCCTTTCCCTATGAAAAAGGAAGGAGTCGAAGACACACTGCGACATATAGCGATCACGAATCCAAATCCATATTTATAGAGGTGTGCTACCATGTCATATCATAGGAAACAACGACAGTACCTTTGTACCTTTAAACTAATTTAATACGAGCATTAGCCTCAATCGTGATACGAGCGTGGGGAATCGCAATTTCAGCGGCACTCAGCATTGCACACCGTGCCTTACGCTCGTCAAAATGCCGAGCTGTTAGTCATAAACGGTTTTAAATGGAAGCCATCACTCAAAATTTGCCGTGTTTCGTAATTAGTTTTTTTTTTTGTTGCGGCTCTACCTAAAGCTAATTACTGGACTAGCAAAGGTTAGCTGGCAGGGAATGCCTTTTCGGCAATAGGTCCTTTGTACCAACTATTTTGAGTGTAATAAATAATTTTTAACTATCTACGCTCGCCTTTATATACATCCATTTGGGCAGCGGCGCGAACTAACGATTGCTTAAACACTTAAATTGGTTTTAAAGATGTGAAAGTGTTTCTACGAGGGCCGCGAGCGGTGCATCTTCGCTATTTGCATGAACTTACGAAACAACTTCATCCGTTATAGATCAAAAGGGCAACACTGCAGGTAAAGTCGTGAGCAAAATAGGTTATTACTTACAATAATGCCCTCGGTAATATGGTAGAAGAATCACTGACACAAATTTTACTAACTGGGAAATGCCTCACACATAAACATGAAAAAGATCTACACACTTAACGACTCATAAACGGAACTATTATAAATACGTTATTAAGAAGTAATATATTCCGCATTATTATTTTTTTCTAGGAAATTAACAGAAAGTATAAGACTGAGTATATTTTCTATTTTAATATAAAATATTTGTGGTGAAATTCAAGAAAATATTTTTTACTGAAGTTACAAACGAGCATACGGTCCACCTGATGGTAAGTGGCTACTGCAGTCCATAGACACCTGCAACCAACTTCTATAAAAGAAGGCTAAAGATACATTGTCACATCTGATAATTAAGATGGAATGCCTCACAGCCTTTACTTATACTAACTCTCTAAGCCAGTGATTCGCAACCAGTGGTCCGCTTAATTATTTTAAATAACACATTTATTATTTTCTCGTCACGCGAACAGTGCAACACCGCGCGTAACATTAGTAAGTATCTACTAGCTTTTACAATAAATACACAAATAATAGTGTTAATCAATCAATAAAGTTTATTATATAATTATGTTAAAAGTTGTGATTATTGGTTATTGTTAGATTAACACAGTTTTTTTCACCTTGTGGTCCCCGCTAAGTACAAAAAAATCAAAGTGGTCTCTGGTCAAAAAAGGTTGGGAAACCCTGCTCTAAGCCCTTCAGACCAGAACACAGCAGTGCTGCTATTTGGCGGTAGAAATGTGTCCAATTTATAATTAAGTTTTTTTTTCTTGACACAATAACTTTTGTGATGAATTTGATCCCCGTCGATAGCAATGAATAGATTAATGCATATTTTAGTGCAGCATTTCCACTAATAGACGGCCAAGAAAAATATCGTGAAGATACTTGCATCTCTCAGGAACTAAATATAATTCAAAGAAGCGCGAATCACTCATTTTAGCAGTGCGGCGAAAGCATTGCTTCTAAAATCGAACGGTAAGGAGACCTGTGCTCAGATTCTGAGTTGAGACGTATGTAAGCTGTTACTTCACTTTACTTTTATATCTTTTTTTATTAATTTATTCTAATAGTAATTCTTGTTTATCATAATATATTTAGATATAACGCAAGACTTGCGTTTACCTACAGCGTTATGCAGACATAAGATTAAAAAACTAATGACATTTAAAATACCAACTAAACACTGTGGTGCTAAGTAGTGAAATAAAATTACTACTTGACGCTCGCTGGAGTCTCTCGCACACGCAATAAATATTCCAGGAATCTACACTGGCAACTGCTTATTTGGTACACAGGGCATATTAAGGCAAGTCATCTGTATCTATTTCAACTGAGATATTTCGAACGTGTTTAATTTAGCGAGAATGTTGGAACTACGTCTCAATAATGTTGCCCATTATAATTACCAACCATCGTTTATCGGTTAGCCCTCATGGGT